GCCTGTAGTCTCTCAACTGAACAGTCCTTAGATCTCCCTGGTTGAAATCCCTGTATGAGATCCCTTCTTTCACATTGATTGCACTATTTACTACTGCCCAGTCCCCCCTCACCCCCACCCCCCCATATCCGCCACTGTGCAGGAGCTGAACAGGCTGACAAAACCCAGGCACAAGGACAAAATATTCTAGTCAACCTGGTATTTGTTGAGCCCTGACTTATTGTGTGCAGATCTTAAATGCCTTTTTTCCTTATTTTGTGTTGTTAACCTAAGCAGAATGAGTTAACTAGGAACCTGCACCTCTTATAACTGTATTCTCTTGGGAAGTTTGTTTAAATGTGTATATTAGTCTTCAAATTGTCTGCCTCCCTTCCCTAATTTAAATATACATTACATTAAATACATATATTTCAATCAAAATACATTTAGAATGATGTTGTAAATACATATATCCCCTTAACCCCTTCAGGACGGGTGACGGACGAGGTCCGTCACGCAGGGGAGACCCTTAACGACGGGTGACGGACCTCGTCCGTCACGCGGTAAAATTAACCCCGGATCGCCGCTATCGCGGCGATCGCGGGGTTAATGGTGCTCCCGGTATGCCTCTGCATTGGAGGCATACCGGGAGCACCCGGTCAGCTGCCCAGCACATGTGCTCGCTCTGACCGCAAGTCTGAGCGAGCACATGTGCTCTGTATACTTACCTACCGGCTCCCTGCACTTCCGGGTTCTGTGTGAAGTGCAGGGAGCCGGATCAGTGCTGATCCTGCCCCCTGCTGTTAAAAAAAATAAAGTTTATTTAAAGTGTCCCCCCCCTTACCCATTTTAATAAAAAATTAACCCCTTCCCTGCCAATTGATCACTGACTACAGTGATCAATTGGCAGGGATTACATTTTACTATGATCTGATTTTTTTTTTTAACCCCTGAGGGTTAATTCTTTTTTTTTTTAACCCTCAGGGGTTAAATTAATTAAATTAATTAATTAAATTATTTTTAAATTATATATTTAGATAGCTGGGGTAGGTGGAAGTTAGTGGGGAATTGGGGGATTTGGCGTTAGGCTAACTAGGGGTTAACGTTAAAAAAAGTTTTAAAAGAAACTTTAAAAAGTTAAAAATTAAGCTTAAAAAATGTTTTAATAACATTTAAGTAATAAAAACAAAAAAACACACTTTACCTAGTCCAAATAAAAATTAACCCCTTCCCTGCCAGTCGATCACTGCCTACAGCGATCAAATAGAGATCACAGTATTATACTGTGATCTAATTTTTTTTAACCCCTGAGGATTAACTTTTATTTATTTTTTTAACCCTCAGGGGTTCAATTTATTTAATTAATTAATTTAAATATTTTATAACTATATATTTTGCTAGCTGGGGTGAGTGGGAGTTATGGGAAAATGGGGAATTTACTGTTAGTGCTGCGTACTGCTAGTTAGGGGTTAACAGTAAAAAAAATTGCTTAGAAAAATGTTAAATCTGTAAAAAAGTTTTAAGAAAGTTTAGGAAAGTTTAAAAAAAATTTATAAGCAAAACAAAAGTTTAAAAACTAGTTTTTAAAAGTAAAAAAGTTATAAAAAGTAAAAAAATACATTTTAAAAACGCTCATTACCACTACACCTGGAACAAACTAGAGAAAAAAGTATCCCACGCCAAGGTTCAAAATATGCCTTTTGAATTACCCCAGGGTGTATTCTTTAATAAATAGTATGTGTTTGTGGGGAAGTTTCAATAACCAACCGTCTAAACTATTCCAAATTGGAACATGGACACAGCGTAAAACTTCAAAGTTAGAAAAAAACTGAATGGCTGCGTCTCAAATGCGCCCCTTCAACATCCACATATACCTGGCAAAGGTACATACGGGGGTATTGCTGTACTCAGCCGACATAGCTGAGCAACATATGAAGTATTATACAGTCATAGTACACATAAGGTTTGCAAAATATGCTGCGCAAACTCACTTTGTATGTCAAAAAAGCAGAAAAAATGCTTATTACCACTACACTTGGTACAAGCTAGCGGAAAAATGATCCCACACTAAGGTTCAAAATATGCCTTTTGAAATACCCTGGGATGTCTTCTTTAAGAAATGGTATGGCTTTATGGGGAATTTGGATTATATAGCCTGGTAAAATACTCTAAAATGGGACATAGGCACAGCATAAAAATTCAAAGTTTGAAAAAAAACTGGAATGGCTGTGTCCCAAATGTGCCCCTCCGATGTCCACACATACCTGGCAAAGGTACATACGGGGGTATTGCTGTACTCAGCCGACATAGCTGAGCAACATATGAAGTATTATACAGTCGTAGCACACATAAGGTTTGCAAAATATACTGTGCAAACTCACTTTGTATGTCAAAAAGGCAGAAAAAACGCTTATTACCACTACATCTGGTACAAGCTAGCGGAAAAATGATCCCACGCTAAGGTTCAAACTATACCTTTTGAAACACCCTGGGGTGTCTACTTTAAGAAATGGTAGGCCTTTGTGGGGTAGATTGAATTTAAAACCTGCGAAGATGCTTGGAAATTGCACATAGGCCCAGCGTCAAAATTCAAAGTTTGGTAAAAACGGATATGGCTTGGTCTCCTATATGGCACTGTAGCTTCACAAAATAGTGACAAAGACATTCATATGGGGTGTCATTTTACTCAGAAGACTTAGCTGAGCATAATTTGGGGGTTTGAACTTAGTGGCACATATGAAATATACAAAACGCCCAGCAAAAATGCAATCCGTATGTAAAAAATGCACAAAATTATTTTTTTACCACATACTTTGGCATATATTGGTGAAAAAATGGGGGTATGTCAAGGCACAATATGCACCTTATGAGATACCCTGGAGTGTCTACTTTTACAAATGGTAGGCCTTTGTGGGGGTTTTTTGAACAGTCAAACTGTTATAATACCCCAAATGGAAGCTAAGGCTCATTAAATCCATCTCTCAAAATTCTACTGTGAATACTGTAAAGGACAGGTCTCCTATATGGCACTGTAGCTTCACGAAATAGTGCCAAAGACATTCATATGGGGTGTAATTTTACTCAGAAGACTTAGCTGAGCATAATTTGGGGGGTTTGAACTTAGTGGCACATATGAAATATACAAAACGCCCAGCAAAAATGCAATCTGTATGTAAAAAATGCACAAAATTATTTTTTACCACATACTTTGGCATATATTGGTGAAAAAATGGGGGCATGTTAAGGCACAATATGCACCTTATAAGATACCCTGGAGTGTCTACTTTTACAAATGGTAGGCCTTTGTGGGGGTTTTTTGAACAGTCAAACTGTTATAATACCCCAAATGGAAGCTAAGGCTCATTAAATTCATCTCTCAACATTCTACTGTGAATACTGAAAAGGACAGGTATCCTGTATGGCACTGTAACTTCACGAAATAGTGCAAAAGACATACAATGGGGGTGTCATTTTACTCAGCAGATGTAACTGAACACAAAATAAAACTTTGTACAGGAATAGCACACACCAACTTTACAAAATATACACGAGAATTTCTTTGTTATAAGTTTGTGTGCCAAAAACCAAAAAGAACACAATTTTACTCCAATATTTAGCAGAGGTTGGCGGTAATATGGCTACGTAGAAAGTGTCAAAACAACCTTAGGTAAATAGCCCGTGATGTCTACTTTATATAAATATATACTTTTGTGTGGCAATTTTGTTTTCTTTTATGGCTATTAAGCTTACAAGACAAACATACCAAATTCTAAAATCGCTCCACATTAAAATTTTATTTTACTCCTTGTGCTTTGTGACCTGTAACTACCAAAAAAAACTTAAAATCCCAGACACATTATATATTCTGTAAATCAGAATAAATAAATTTATCTTTAATTACTTTCCTTAACCTGCACTAATTATGCACACATTATTATTGCAAAAACTGTAAAAAAAAACAATATTTTTCATTTTTTTTGCATTTTTCTGTATTTTTTTTATAATAAGTAAGCATTTATATATATATATGTTATATCAAATTAAAGCCCTTTCTGTCCTTTAAAAAACAGTATATAATATGTGTCGGTGCAATAAATGAGAGAGATGCAAATTGCAGTTGAACGCAAACAGCAAGAAAATGCAAAAATTGCTTGTGTCATTAAGCGTAAGTCAAGCTTCTGAAGCTGTGTCCTTAAGGGGTTAATGACCGTGGACGTACTAGGTATGTCCGACAAAAAACGGTCATTAAGGACCACAGACGTACCCTGGACTTACCTGGACCAGCGATCCATGGTGATCACGGTTGAGGGGGGACTGTCCGAGACCCCAGTAGTCCCCCTGCAGCAGCTCCGGCCACCCCGGCTCTCCAGGGCCATGTGATCACCATGATCACATCTTCGCAGTAGGATTCTGTGGAGCTGCCAGCAGGGAGACTATCTGAGCTTTCAGGCATATTCGAAGTATATATATATATATATATATATAAATGAATCAATAAGGGGAGCACACTAGGACTTCAGTATAGTGCAAAAAATATATTTACTGTATCCAAAACATGGTACAAATTCTGTGCAAAGAGAATCAACGTTTCGACCCTGCTGGGGTCTTTATCCCCAGCAGGGTCGAAACGTTGATTCTCTTTGCACAGAATTTGTACCATGTTTTGGATACAGTAAATATATTTTTTGCACTATACTGAAGTCCTAGTGTGCTCCCCTTATTGATTCATTTATATTGGGATGCGGGACTGCACCTAGGCATCTAATTCACTATAAGAAGAAGTTCAGGAGGAGTGCCTTGCTTAGTTATTTTTTGTATATATATATATATATATATATATATATATATGTGATTTCATTACAAGTGTACTTTGAGATATATATATATATGCATATCTCAAAATACTTATAATGAAATCATATATATGCATTATATATGTATAATATATTATAAAATGATTTACTTTTAATATATTATACATATATAGGAAATAAGTGTGCACACACACACACACACACACACGTATTATATATGTGTGTGTGTGTGTGTGTGTGTGTGTGTGTATATATATATATACACACACACATACATACACACACACACATATTCTACTTATATATTTAACTTTTTTTTTTTTAAATGTTTCATTTTTATTGAGATGAAAAGGTTTCGGATTGACACTTTAAACTACATTTTACGTTTCATACATATTGCACAACAGAGAGTATATAGTGATAACATTGTACAATGGCATTTTACTATACATCCTCGTAGTAATGGTACAGAGTGTTGTTTCAATCAACAATCATGCTTTTGTTACAGGTGGTGGATAGTGCCCTGATTTTAGTACCCGGTAGACTGGGCATGCTTTCTGGTGTGTGTTATCATGCCTCTAAGTGGCTTCTCCCTGGCCTCCGGTGGTCAGCCTCCCACCTGTATCCTCCACTCTTCTTTGGGGTGGGCCCGATGGTTAGCAACCGGGTTCGTATCACCTTTGCGTGTTGCTTGTTTATTTGTGTAGTGTCGTGTCTTGTAGACTGGGAACTAATTCACCTGCTCATCATCTCATATTTTAAGGCTCGATAGGGCAACGTAAGCCCTTATTTTGTGTATGAGGGGGGGGTGAACTGGGATAAGGGTGTAGTACGGGGGGGGGGGGGGATGCTCTCGTGCTTGGAGGCTAGGTGGGGCATAGTTTGTCAGCTAGATGGGGCGTAATTCGTCCTTCACCCAGGCATCACCACTTGGACCATGTCCTGTTGTAGTGTTCTAATGTGCCACCTATTGTATGTGCCATCTGCTCGTACTGTCGGGTGAGGCTTATTTTGGCGAGTACTGTTTTTATGTCAGGTACTGTCGTTGTTTTCCACAAGGCAGCTATGCACGTTTTAGCTGCTAAGGTGATGTGGGTAGTCAGCACTGCTTCATGGGCTGTAAAGTCTCGGGGTAGCATGTGGAGCAGATAGTGTTCGGGTTTGAGTGGTAATTGTTTTCCTAGTTTGGATGTAATTATGTCTTGGATGTGTTGCCAGTATTGGCTGAGTGCCGGGCAGTACCAGAATATGTGGCTCGTGTTTCCCCCTTGTTGGCTGCAGCGCCAGCATCTATTCTGCACCCTTGGGTATATTTGGGCCAATCTGTGTGGCGTGTAGTACCACTGCATCCACATCTTGTAGGCTGCTTCTACATGGTCCAAGCACTTTGTCGCCCGTTTAACCAGTGTCATGGCCCCTATCCACTTCCCATGCTCGAGTTCGCAGTTCAATTCTCTTTCCCATTTGAGCATGTATGATTGTTTGGCCGGTCTATCTATGTCTAGCAGCCTATGGTAACACAGGGAGAGTGGTTTTTTGGGGGTTTTGTGACCTTGGCATAGCAAGTCAAAGTGGTTTTGGGGTTGTGTTGGTGTCCTTTCCTTGCCGGTGGCCCCTAAGATATGTTTTATGCGTAAATATGTGAATATTTCGCTGTTTGGTAGGTGGTATTGGCTTTGGAGGTCCGGGAACGCTAGGAGCCCATTGGCTTCATAGAGGTGAGTTATCTGCGTCAGCCCCCTATTTACCCACTCGCCCAGATCCAGGTCATGTGTGTGGTGCTGGAGACTTGTCAGTGGGGCAAGGGTCTCTATCTTTACACTAAGCATTTTTGGGGCCCATCTCAGCCATAGCTGCAGGGACAGCTTGGTTGTTGCGAGAGGGTTAGTGAGTCGAGGTTGGGCCTTGGCTGGGATCCAGACCAGGTCCCTAAGGGAGTGAGGTGCACAGACAGCACTTTCCAGTTGGTGCCACAGTGGGCAATTCGAGGTGGGGAGGAGGCGCGCCGTCTGAGATATGTTTGTTGCTAGGTAGTATTTGGTTATGTGTGGCACACCCACCCCGCCTCCCCCCATGGCTGTGCTAATATTTGCTAGTGAGACTCTGGGTGGTTTTTTCCTCCATATGTGTGCGTTGATGAGTCGCTGAAATGCTCGGAGGGTGTAGTTTGGTAGACTGATGGGTAGGGCCCTGAATAGAAATAATACTTGCGGTAGTATCATCATTTTCACGGCGTTTATGCGCCCCAACCAGGATGTGTGTCCGTTTTTGCTTCCCCAGCCCTCCAGCACCTGCTCTATTTTTGCTATGAGTCGCCCGTGGTTATGTTTTATGAGGAGCTGTTTGGAGGGTGCTAGTTGTGTGCCTAGATAGGAAATGGTATCCTTCCTCCATTCAAAGGGGTATAACGTTCGTAGGGCCGTGAGTTGTGAACTGGGCATATTCATCGGGAGTACCTGTGTTTTCGCTACATTATTTTTGTAGTATGAGACCTGGCCGTAGTCCCGTAGTAGGTCCAGGAGGGCGGGTAGGGAGTCCGGCGGGTTTGTTAGGAAGAGAAGGATGTCGTCCGCGAACACTGCCATTTTTTGCGGGCCTGTCGGGGAGGGGGCGCCTAGGATGCAGGGGTTAGTCCTGATTTTATGGAGCAGGGGCTCCAGTGCCAGGATAAAAATGAGGGGCGATAAGGGGCATCCCTGTCTTGTGCCGTTCGATAGGGCGAATCTGCTGGAAATGAAACCAGAGTTCATGACTGTGGCTTGGGGGGATGAGTAGAGGGATAAGAGCCCAGCTAGGAATTTTGTCGGGAAGTTGAATCTACGCAGGACCTCTGTCATGTAACCCCAGTGGAGTCTGTCGAAGGCCTTTTCTGCGTCTAAGGCCATTATTAAGCCCTGTGATCGATCTCTAATCATGAGTTCCATTACGTCAAGGGCTCGTCTGGTGTTATCTTCTACTTGTCGCCCCGGGACAAACCCTGATTGTTCTGGGGATACTAATTGAGCTAGTGTAGGGCGTATTCTGTTTGCAAGGGTCTTGGCGAACAATTTTGTGTCAGCGTTGAGGAGTGAGATTGGGCGGTAGTGTGCGCATGTATCAGTAGTTTTGCCTGGTTTAGGGAGCGTAATAATGGTGGCTTCCAACATTTCCGGGGGTATCTCCCCCGATTCTAAAATGTGGTTGAATAGGGCCGTGAGATGGGGGAGTAGCTGGTCCTCAAAAACCCTATAGTAGTGGGTTGAGAAGCCGTCTGGGCCTGGGGCTTTGTGTCTGGGCGTATCGTGTAGAGCCTTTGATACTTCAGATGCTTCAATTGGGTTGGTCAGTGCAGCCGCCTGTTCGTCGGAAAGTCGAGGGAGAGTCACTCCGTCTAGGAAGGAAGTAATATTTTGGGGACTGGGTTGGTGTTGGTTGGTGTCCTCAGACAGGTTATATAGCCTTGCGTAAAATTGGGCAAACTTGTCTACTATCGCTTTGGGGTTTCTAATCTTGGTGCCCGTGTCGTCCTTAATATATGGGATCTTTACCTGCGAGGTGCGTTCCCTGAGTTGGGAGGCTAATATTTTGCCCGCTCTGTTACCCTGTCTATAGTAGTTGGTTTTCATTTTACGAATTGCCCGTTCCACTTGCTGCATCTGTAGTGCTTCTATAGTGGCCCTTAACTTCTGTACCTCCTGCCTATTGGAGTGTGTGGGGGAGGTCTTGTGTCGTGTTTCTGCTTGTTTTAAGTTGGTCAGTAGGGTCTTACTTTTTTCTGTCAGTTGGCGCTTCAGTTTTGCACCTTGTCGTATTAGCAGACCGCGCATTACTGCCTTATGGGCAAGCCATGTCATTGCGACATTCGTGTCGGTGTAGTGGTTATCTACAAAGTAGTGCGCCAAGGCACTCCTTATCTCGGCCGCCCTGTTCACATTGTCTATCAGTGATTCGTTTAGTCTCCACTGTCCCCGGCCCCGGACCGGGTGGAGCGTGGTAAAGACTGAAGTGAGGGGGGCATGGTCTGACCAAGTCAAGGGGGCAATCGATACCTCCTCCAGGGTATCTAGCGTTTTCACATCTACTAAACACATGTCTATCCGGGAGTATCTATCATGTACCTTGGAGTAGAACGTGTAGTCTTTAGACGCTGGGTATAGCGAACGCCATGTATCGTGTAGGCCGTGTGAGTTGAGGAGTGCTGTCACTTTCAACCCTAGCTGTGTTGATCGCAAGTGGGAACAGGGTTTGCCGGTCCTATCTAGAGCTGGGTCTAGTACGCAGTTAAAGTCTCCACATATAAGCGTCTGCCCTTTCTTTTTCTTGTCTACTTGTTGTAAAGCTTTCCTAAGGAAGTCATACTGGTTAGTGTTGGGGGCGTAGAGGTTGACTACCGTCACCTGGACATCATTTAAGAGTCCTACTAGTATTAGAAGCCGGCCATCGGGGCTTTTGTATTCTACTTCACATTTAATTTGCCAATCAGAGTGGAAGAGAATGCTAACACCTCGTGTCTTATTCGGTGCCGTGGCATGGTAAGCTTGTGGATAAGATGTGGACGAGAATTTTGGTGGGTTTTTAATTGAGAAGTGAGTTTCTTGTATGCATGCCACAGAGGCGTGTAGAGTGCGTAATTGGGAGAACGCCAGCCTGCGTTTTTGTGGTGTGTTCAGCCCATGGGCATTTAGAGACACCAGGCGGAATTTATTGGCGGAGGTCATTTTAACTAGTTGGGGTGGCCCTAGGGCCCGGTAGTTTGGGTGTAGTGTTTTCCCTTGCCACTACGTGACAGAGGTGGTTGGGTGAGGCTATTTTTTCCCCTCGTCGTACCCAGTAGTGAAGGGGGAGCATCTCGGGAAGGGGGTTAGGGCAGGGGGAACAACCTGGAACATAACCTAAGAGACAAAACCATAAAACAGAAATAAAGTATATACATTTCAAACAGCTATTAAGCATTATGTGAGGGACCCTGCTGCCGAGCTCGCACCCTCTACTGCACTGAGAGGGGGTCGCAACGGCAGGCGGTGTCCCACAGGTGTATCGGGGGGGCGTCTGATATTTGGTGAGGCCTGTACCTCTTTCAGAGCCCGGCTCTCTCGAAAAAGTAGGCGGTGGGGGGGGGAGGTATAGGGGCTTGGCTGAGCCGTTGGCTGTCCTGTATAGATCTGTGAGTGGGGGGGGGGTGAGAGGTGAGCACAGTCTCTGCGCCTTTCAGTTTTCCGGCCTTTGTCCGGCCATGCTGGGTTCAGATTTTAGTGGGCAGTCTCTGCAAGGGTCTGAGCAGTGAGTCTGACTGCTTAGGGGTAAGTCTCGCAGTGATGGGTGGGCCAA